CTCAAGCTCGGACGGCGCTTGACGCGCAGTTCCGCCGCGTCCATACCCTCCCCGCTGCCCACGACGCCCACGTCCACTTGCATTCGAGTGAGCGGGCGACTGCTGGCGAGATGGGACGCGTTGGCGCTGGCGAACAGGGGATCGGCCCCCGTGACGAGGAGAGTAGAGCCGCTGGCGCTTTGACGGCCGCGGCGAACGCGCATATGGGGACCGCGGGCGAGACACGTGCGGAGCAGGCGATCGATAGTGTGTGGCTTGGCGACCGGGCGAACGGTGACGACGCGACCGGCGGTCCGGAGATCGGCTCCTCGATGCCGCGCGGCGCGGTGAACGTGGTGAGTGCGGTGATCGCGGCTTCCGAGGCGACCGAGGCTCGGCGTGACGCTCCGCACGGTGGCTCTCCTGCCCGTCACCGCGCGCCACTGTCGATCGGCGACGAGGCGAACGTTCCCGGCGCGCCGCAGCCTCTGCGTCGGAGCGCACGACGGACTCCGCACGCGCAGGCGCCGGCGCGGGCCGCTGATCTTCGAAACGGCGACGAATCTGATCGGCGGCAGCCATCGGAGCGACAGGGACGCTCGCGGCAGGACGTGCAGGAGGAAGCGGACGGGGAGCGAGATCGCTCACTGCGGAACACCCGCGCTCAGGAGCAGCCAGGAGATCCATCGGAGCAGAGGGATGATAGCGCTCGCCCAACGGGCGGCCGACGCGGCGGAGGTAGAGCTGCAGGCCGGGGAGGGCGAGCAGCTGGGCGTGGCGGGAGGGCTCGAGGAGGCGGTCCGGAGAACGTGTACCAGCAGGCGGGACGGAGGGCTTTAACTGAGATGAGCAACGATAATAATTCAACCACTTCAGACGGCAGCTTTGTAGCTGCAGAATCTACGGACTCGACCTCTAGCTCTGAGTCACTGGAAGACGAGCAGCAACAGACCCCTGCTCGAGCGAGCAGGCCAGCCGCAACTCACCTGCCGGGGGGAAACTCAGCAGTGAGATCCAACAGGAGGGGTCCCCCAACACCAACCCGTGCCGCATCGGGAAATTTCGCCACTCCACCAATCCCAACCCCGATTTCCAACATTCAGACCCCTACCCACACCGCCCCCCAACCTGCACCTGGCGGTAACCACGTCCCAACCCAACCCTTAGAGGAAAAATCCCCAGAAACGCTCGCCAAGGACGACACGCTATTCACCAGCGTTGTAGCCTGGGATCTCACGAAACTACGCGACTCTCGCCACGCACCCCTTTCCCGCCACCTCCCTCCAGACCCAAGCAAGCTTTTCGCCACAGCCTTGTTGGCGCCGCTGCTGCGCTTGGCGAAATATCCAGACTCTACCTCTGCTTGGACGGTCGTTCTATTCCTGGCGCGCTTAACACTTCGCCAGCTGTCCCCACGACGTCCAGATTGGAAGGCTGTCAGTGCCCGCCTTCGTCAGTTTCTGTCCGGGGAGTGGGATAAGCTATACAATGAGACAGTGGGCTCACTGACGTGGCCCCAACCACCTAGACACCAGCCCGATGACATTGGTGTCATCGCTAGGGCAGAGGGGTTGGCACGACGTGGCAGCCTACGACGAGCCGTGATGGCACTGGAAGCCACGCCAGTCAGCATTCCCTCCCCAACTGTGCTGGAGGCCCTGCGCGCCAAACACCCACCAGCGCCCGCCTCCCCACCTGACTGGACTTTTCCAGCACCTGACCCCCACCTATCAGCACCATTTGCAGTCTTCTCCAAGGTGCTGGGAAGCTGCGAGATGGGGGTAGGAGCGGGCCCCTCTGGAACCACGTTTGAACACTTACGCGATGCAGCGCTGATCAGCCACTCCGTTGGGAAGCACCTTCACGCACTAGTCAACACGATTCTCACGGGAAACCTACCTCCTGCAGTGGCCGAGCTCCTCACCGCCTCGAGATTAAGTGCCCTGAGCAAGCCCGATGGGGGGACGCGGCCGATCGCCATCGGCGAAAGCATAACGCGCCTCGCGGCCAAGACGGCGCTTACCTTGACCGCAGGGGCCGCCCGTGAGTTCTTCCTACCGCACCAGTTCGGCGTGGCTGTCCCTGGTGGGGCGGAAGCGATTATCCACATCACATCACACGCACTTACCTCACGGTGAACACAGGAGCTTTGGTCCTGCAGGCTGATCTGGCGAACGCATTTAACAGCGTCAACCGCGACGCCATCATCAAATCTCTTCGGGACTCCACCCTCGCCTCGCTCTTACCGTTAGTTAAACTGCTGTACGGCCTTCCCTCGGCTCTATGTCTGGATGCTGGCTTCTCACACCCACCTCTGCTGAGCGAGACCGGGGTGCGACAGGGAGATCCCCTCGGCCCGTTGTTGTTCGCTGCCGCCATACACCCTGCACTGACGAAAACAGCGCTCACCTTCCCCTCTGTCGTCTGTCTTGCCTATGCGGACGACGTAACCTTCCTTGGAGATGCAGCCACGTGTGCAGCAGCGTTTGAGGACTTCACAGGAAACCTTGGGGAGATTGGGCTGCGCCACAACCCCGCCAAATGCGCAGCCTGGTCCCAGGCAGGCCGACAGGGAGCTGCGCTACCAGTGGGCGTACCTTTCACTGAAGATGGGGTGAAGGTGCTTGGCAGTTTCATCGGTGGCAGTGACGCAACTGCCGCGTTCCTACGTGCCAGCCTCGACACCATGGGCGGGCCGTTGCCCTTAATAGCGCGGATGGAGCCACAGCTGGCTTCCCTTCTGCTCTCTCGGTGCATCTCACGAAGGATCGCTTACGTCGCCCGCACCACGCCGCTTTCAGCCCTGCCAGTCGAGGAGTGGTCAGACTGGGGTAAAAGGCTGTTTGAGACACTGCTCAATGCCTGCGGCATTCGCCACCCACGGGGGGAGGCCGAGATTTCACGTACCTGGGCGCAAGCGTCACTCCCCATCTCGCTCGGCGGTTTAGGTCTCACAGACCCCTCGGTGGAGGGACGTGTTGGGTTTCTCGCAAGCTACACACAAGCGCAGCACCTGCTCACCTCCATTGATGAGTCGGCGGTCGGCGCCCTGGCGGAAACGCGGATCCAGATGGTGGGGCCCTTCATCAACACGTCCCCGCTCTTTGACTGGCTGGAGAGGTGTGAGGAGTCACTGCCGGATGATGGGAAGGAGCTGCTGCAGAGCGACCGAGTTGATCCCAAGGGCGTCAAGCTGCAGCACGGGCTGGCAATCGCGGTCCACGGACTGCGCTACGCGGAGCAGGTGCAGGCTACACGCATCATGCCTCTCAACCCAATGAGCGGGCACACTCAGCGCATGCTCTCACTCTCAGGGTATGGGGCAGGAGACTGGCTCAATGCAGTCCCCTTCAACTCGACACTACGGCTTGCCCCTGCTCACTTTGCGCATGCGCTGCAATTCCGGATGGGGCTACCCTCCTCAGCTCCAGGCGCGTGTGACTGCCGCAAGGAGACAGCGATCCCAGACAGGCGGCTGCCCAACCACCTGCTGCGCTGTGACACAGGGAAGGGGCGGACCAACACGCACAATGAACTGCGCGATGCGTGTCTGCACATGGCCGCCGACGCTGATTTCATGACTCACAGTGAGACGACCACGTTCTGCCCCGTCACCCTTAAGAAAGCAGACATAGCGATCCGGGACAAGTCCTCAGGGGCGGTGTGGATAGGGGACGTGACCATCACGGACCCCATTAGCACACGGGATCCCAACGCGGTTAAGGGCAGGGAGTGGGCGGCCAGAGAGGCGGCAGAGAAAAAGATCTCCGACTACGAGGGCTCAACGGCCTCGTGGGTCGGATTCTTCCCTCTCGCCGTTGATACCTACGGCTGCCCCTGCGCGGAGGTCCCTCAATTCCTCAAACTTCTGGCCGACACCGGCGCGCGCAGGCTCTTCAACGCGGCCCCCTCATCTTACCAAGCAACAAAGCTGCTGCATCAGTTCCGCCAGCGGTGGTCCGTGGCGCTGCAGCGGGCGCAGTCGGTGAGCTTCATGACGAAGTGCAACTATGCGGCTCAGGTAGAGAACCCACCTGTGGCGCTGCCGGGCGAAGGCATGTCCCTCGGGGACTGCCTTGCCATCCTGGAGCCTGCACTGGAGCTGCCTTAGAGGGTGAACGAGAGTAGGTAGGATATGGGGGTTATAGAGGATGAGGTGCATTGCTCCTTATAACCTTGTGCATGTCTGTACCGTGCTCGGATCTAATACACGGACCGCTTGAGAGAGAGAGCTTGTGAGTGTATGTGTTTCAATCGTTGGGTGAATGTGTGAGTGCGTGCGTGTGTGAGAGAATGTGTGTGAGAGAGCAAACCTTGCAGGCTCCACACGCGGATGCTGCTGTCCATGCCACAGCTGGCGATGATTGCCTGGTCACCGGGATGGAAATCCTGCTACACACAGCATGAGGGAGAGCGACACGGCATGGGAGAGAGAGAGTGTGCACGTGAGACAGCATGCAAGGGAGGTGGCATTTGAGTCGACTCAAAAGGAAGCTGGCGCCGATGACCTCGTCACCCGGAGGGAAGTCCTGCGAGACACAGTATGCATGCAAGACATATTCTCTAGGACGCCTAAAAGATTAGCATGGAGATGATGGCCTCGCCTGTGAGAAATCTCAAAAGTGATTTCAAATAAACATGGCAATGCCGGGCTTGTCACCAGGACCGGATGGAAGTCCTGCGACACACAGCATGCATGCAAGACAAGACATCACACAACATTACGCAAGACATATTTTCTAGGATGCCTAGAACATTAGCACGGCAATGAGGGCCTTGTCACCGGGACCGGATGGAAGCCCTGCGAGGCACACCAAGTGATGTGAGACAGCAGAGCATTATGCAAGACAGCATGACGGAAACACTAACATCTGCACTCTAGTCCCACTCACTCATAATCGCCACGCACATGCCCGTGTCTGCGTTCCACAGCCGCAGCGATTCGTCTTCTACTCTAGTGCGTGTGCGCCAGGTGTGCGTGTGTGCCCCGTACAGTACATGGTTAACTAGACTAATGAAAGTTACTGTACCGCGCTGAGCACTTCATTCCGGTGCCCGTCCGTGCCGCCCATGATGGCCACGCACACGCCCGTGTCCGTGTTCCACAGCCGCAGCGACTCGTCCTTTCCGGCTGAGAGCAGCAGCGCAGGGTGGGACGGATGCACCCTCACCTCGTTCACTGCACCTCCGTGCCCAATGAAACTCTGAGGGAAGGGAAGAGTTGGGGGTGGGGTGTAGGGGGGAGACGGGGAGGAAGAATGAATCAGACAAAGAATGATTGAAATGCATGCCTCTCTCGTCCTTCCCGGCTGAGAGCAGCAGCGCGGGGTGGGGTGGGTGGGATGCACCCTCACCTCGTTCACCGCCACACTGTGGCCAATACAACTCTGGAAGTGGGGGAGACAGGTGGGGAAAGGAGTATGGAGGGCAGGGGAAGGGGCGGGGAGCAGCTTCTGCCTGCCGATCTCTCTTCTCTCGTCCTTGCCGGCTGAGAGCAGCAGCGTGGGATGGGTCGGATGCACCCTCACCTCGTTCACTGTGCCTCCGTGCCCGATGAAACTTGAAGAGGGGGAATGGGAGGAGAGGAGGTGCGGGAGAGACGAAAAACGAAGAGCAGCTTATGCCTGTCCCTCTCTCTCTCTTCTCTCGTCCTTTTTGGCTGAGAGCAGCAGTGCGGGGTGGCACGGATGCACCCTCACCTCGTTCACAGCGCCTCCGTGCCCGATGAAGCTCTAACTGAATGGAGTGGGTGGGGGGAAAGGGATAGAGGCGCCTCAAATGCAGCCTGCGCATGTCTCCTTGCCGGTGCACATATGGGGTATGTCTCCTGCGCATGTCTCCTTGCCGGCCAGCAGAGAGAAGCAGTGCGGGGTGGCATGGATGCACCCTCACCTCGTTCACTGCTCCCCCATGGCCAATGAAACTCTGAAGGAAAGGAGGGTGTGTAGAAGGGTTTGAGTTCACATGAGCACATGCTCACACACACTCAGCTGCCCTTGTACGCACCAACATCGACTCGCCCACACACTCACTCACCCTCCCTCCCTCGATCACTCACCCACTCACCCACTCACTCACTACCTCACTCGCTCCCTCACTCACTCACTCACTCACTCACTCATTTACTCATTCCCTCATACACTCATTTACTCATTCACTCGTTCACTCAATCACTCACTCACTCACTCCCTCACTCATTCACTCACTCAAATGCTCACTCACTCCCTCACTCATTCACTCACTCAAATGCTCACTCACCCATCCACTCACTCACTCCCTCACTCACTCATTCACTCTCTCACTCACTCATCCACTCACGCACTCATTCAATCATTCATTCACTCACTCACTCACTCACTCCCTCTCTCACCCATTCACTCATTCACTCACTCACTCACTCACTCACTCACTCACACACTCACTCGTTCACCCACTCATTCACTCGCTCAAATGCTCCCTCACTCATCCACTCACTCACTCCCTCACTCACTCACTCATTCTCTCCCTCACTCGCTCATTCACTCACTCATGCACTCATTCACTCACTCACTCACTCACTCCCTCCTTCCCCTCCCTCACGCCCACACTCACTCACTCACATGGACAACTGTCTCTCGCCAGCAGTCAATGATCCGAATCACCCCGCTGCTGCCACTAGCTGCCAACAGCGGCCGCCCCTGCTGCCCCCTCATCCATGCCACTGTGTAAAACGACTCATCCTTCTGGTGATGGGGATGTGATGGCATGGCAGCACATGGATGCACATGGATGCACATGGATGGACATGGATGCACATGGATGGACATGAATGAGGATCGGTGAACTTGAGGCACAATGAGAGAAGAACAATATATCCTTAGTAGGAAGATGGTACAAGCCTGAAAGGCTAGAGCAATGTCCTTTCCAAGGATGAGTTCTAGAGAAGTGGGAAGCCACATTTATGTGGCTGAACTCTTGAGGCTAGCTGCAGCACCTCAAAGCTGAGGGCAGGGCTAGCCAACCTTGCCAAGCTAGCAATTGAGGCCACATGTTGCACATGTGGGCCAGGCTGGAACAACAGCCTACATGGCAGCATGTGGCACACCATAGGAGCCAACAAGGTGAGTATGGGATGGGTGGACTGATGGCAATGCCAACTGTGACCACACTTCACTGTGGGTGAGTGTGGTGGAGTGTGGGAGTGTCATGTTCGGCATAATGAGAAGAGAAGGTGCTGCCGATGAGAGTTGAACCCGCGACCACTAAGACCAAAGGTACCCACTGGGACATTCTTGCTTCCACAACACCCCCCCTCAAGGATGTCCCCGGGGTAGGGTGCCTCAAGAGGAAACATGGGTGAGACCGAGAAGACCACGGATGCGAAGAAAAGGGTCACGGGGCAAAGGCTTGGTCCCAATGTCAGCGAGGTTGTCTTGAGTAGGAACATAGTGAAGGGTGATGGAGTGGTCGGCAACATGATCGCGAATGAAATGGTGCTTGATGTCGATGTGCTTGGCCTTGGGATGAAAGACGCCATCGTCCTTGGCGAGAATGATGGCACTGTTGTTGTCACACGAGATACGGGTGGGGCCGGTAGGGGGAAGTCCAACTGCAGTAAGGAGCGAACGAAGCCATAATGCCTCGTGCACCGCGGCGCCCAGAGAGTAATATTCAGCTTCACATGAAGAGGTAGCAACGACGGCTTGGCGTTTGGACTGCCAAGAGATGAGTGACGGACCGAGGAAGAACAAGTAGCACGTAACGGAGCGACGCAGCTCCCCCTCCGGTCCCCAAGAGGCGTCACACCAGCCATGAAGTTCGAGGGTGTCGGGAATGCCACCAAGGAGAAGCCCAAGGGAGGTAGTCCCTTTCAAGTAGCGAGCAATGCGTTTGGCAGCCGAGACGTGAGGAGTAGACCAATCGTGAAGGTGACGAGCGAGAACTCCAGCGCTATATGCGAGGTTGGGACGGGTCCCCACCATGGCATACATGATGGAGCCGACAAACGAGGTGTAAGGGAAGGAGGAGGAGTGCGGGGAGGAAGTCACGGGTGGCTGAAACTTTGTGTCCATGGGAGTGGCAGCGGGGTTCAGTGGAGAGAAGGAGTAGGTGTCTAGAATGGAGGTGATGAATTTGGATTGATGAAGGTGGAGAGTGCGGGAAGTTCGATCACGAGTGATGTGAAAGCCAAGGTAGTAGGAGACAGGTCCGAGGTCACGAAGTTTGAAGCGAGATGAAAGGGCATGCTTGAATGAGGCAAGAAGAGAGGAGGAGGAGGAGAGAATGATGAGGTCCTCAACATAGACGAGAAGCATGAAGAAGGATGCAGCTGTAGGCCGATAAGGTGAGTGAGGAGGAGCAATGAAGAGGCCGGGGTCCGCACGAGCAGCAAAGAGGTGAAAGGCAGCAAGCTCCTCACGAAGCTTGCGGTACCAGCATCGCGGAGCTTGCTTCAACCCGTATAGCGGTTTGTGCAAGAGACAAACTTGCTCAACACCATGGACCGCCGGAAGGTCATAACCGGGAGGCTGCATCATGTAGAGAATCTCATCAAGGGTGCCGTTGAGGAAGGCGTTGGAGATGTCCAGCTGATGGACGTCCAGGTTGAAAGCGGCAGCTATGGTGAGAAACAAGGGTGGCGAAGCGGACGGTAGGAGCAAAGGTGTCATGAAAATCAACACCATCACGTTGCTTGAAGCCTTTGACAACAAGGCGGGCTTTGCGGCGTTCAATAGAACCATCAGCGTTCTCCTTGACCTAGAAAATCCATTTGCATGGAATCGGCTTGCACTTGGGTGGTCGAGGAACAATGCTGTAGGTGTCATTAGCGTGCAGGGCAGCGAGTTCCGCATCAGCAGCCTTGATCCATTCGGCAGCATCAGGGCCGGTACGAGCCTCATGAATGGTTTGAGGTTCGTAATGATGGTGAAGGGCAGCATTGGCAGAGGTGTTGGAAAGAGGAGGAAGAGTGAAGTCAATGGGTTCGGAAGGGGATGGTAAGACCTTGAGGAAGGAGAAAAGGGAAGGATCGGGAAGAGCTGAGGGGGATGGCGGGGAGGAGCGAGTCGTGCAATGGGGAGGGGGAGGCGAAGAGGGAGGAGAGAAGGATGGAAGGTGAAAGTCTTGCGGCGTCGAGGGCAGAGGAAGGTTGGAAAACAATGGAGGAGGAGAAGATGTGGCTGGTGCGGGCAGGTTTGGGGATTGTGGGTGGGGGTTGGTGGAGGAAGGTATGGTGGGGGAAGGAGAGGGAGGGGAGATTGGGTCCAAGGAAGAAGGGTGTGTAGGAGGAGGTAGTGAGGAGGATGTGGGTGGAGATGACGATGGAGGGTCGCGAGAGTCGTCGGAAGGCGGTGTAGAGGGCTCCATGAAGATGACATCACGAGAAAGGATGACACGGTGCTGAGATGGGATATAGATGCGGTAAGCTTTGGTGCCGTCGAGATGACCATATCCAACCATGATGCCGGCCGTGCTTCGGTCGTCGAGCTTAGAACGCCGTTGGGAAGGAATGAGGACCGAGACGGGTGAACCGAAGATGCGGAGGTGTGATACATCCGGACGTGCACCGGTCCATAGTTCCATGGGAGTCTTAGAAGTTGAACCACCCCGACTTATGGCATGATTACGAAGATAGGCAGCAGTAAGAGCGGCTTCACCCCACCAGCCTTTGTCCATGTGTGCATCATGGAGCATGGAACGGACCATCTCAAGTAAAGTCCGGTTGGCCCGCTCAGCTACTCCATTTTTCTCAGGTGTGTATGGCGTGGAGAGGTGGCGGGCGATGCCATGAGCTGTAAGGAATGAAGTGAAGGCTTTGGAAGTGAACTCCAAGGCACCGTCAGAGCGAAAGGTTTTGATGGTGTGTGGGGAATGCATGTTGTGCACCCGAGTGACGTAAGCCTTGAAGCATGAAAGTGCCTCCGACCGGTGGCGTAGGAGATACACTGTAATGTGGCGGGAGTAGTCGTCGATGAAGGTGAGAAGGTAGCGAGCGCCGCCAATGGTAGTTCCATATGAAAGCGGTCCAGCAATATCTGAGTGAATGAGTTGGAGTGGGGCTGTGGTGCGAGAATGGGACACGCCAAATGGCTGACGTGTTTGTTTCCCACGATAGCACGAGATGCAGGGGGGAATCGAGGTGGAGGAGAGGTGAAGACCGGTGACCAGCTGCTGCCGATGAAGTGTTGACAAGGCCTGCATGTTGAGATGCCCGAAACGACGATGCCAGAGGTACGAGGAGGTGGTGGTGGAGGCTGGACATGCAGTTGGCTTGATAGAAGGAGGAGCACTGCTCCCATGATGCAGTTGAAGATAAAACAGATTGTTGCGGGTGTAGCCCTCGCCAATAGGAACGTCATCAGATGTGAGAACAACGCGCCCAGCAGCGGGGAACGAGACGGCAACGCCGGCAGCACCAAGCGCACGAACAGAGAGCAGGTTGTGAACTGATGAAGGGAGAAATAGAACGTTGTCAAGCTGAATGGTGGTTTCCGATGTTGGTGACCGAAGAGTAGCCACCACCGTGCCGACTCCCAAGACCTTGTAAGTCTCTCCTCCACCAAAACGAACAAGGATCTCTTCGTTGGGCTTCTTGAGAGATGAAAACAGCGAACGATCCGAGCAGATATGGGAGGATGCGCCGCTGTCCACCAGCCACGACGAAGTCCGCTCCATATTGAATGAGGAGGCCGTGAATGCCGATGCGTAGGGAGCCCCATAAGGGAAGAGGAGGAGGAGAAGGAGGATGGTGAGAATGAAGACAGCAGCGACGAGAGGAGTCCATGTGGAGAAGATGGGGTGGTGGCTGGTGCTGACAGCAATGTCCACGTACCGGGAATCAGGTACGGACTGAGGGGTTGATGGGGCAGGAGGTGGTGTGGGGGTCGGAGTAGCTTCAGCAGAAGAGCTGGTGGAGACATGCACCGAGGGTTGGAAGACGGATTTCTCCCGTTTAGAGCTTTCTTCAAGCTCTTTCTTCTTCTTCAATTTGAAGCATTCATCGATGGTGTGACCCGTTTTCTTGCAGTAACGGCAGGTGGGCGACTGGCGTGAACCGGAGCGAAGAGGGTGGGAGGGCTGGGAATTGAGGTTGTATGCACCCTCCATGTTACGGCTTGTACCAGATTGTGACCGCTCCCAATCGGCATCGAGTAGGTGTGACTGTAGGTATTCAACCGTCATAGACTTTATGTCTTTCACGGTGCAAATGGTTTCAGTAAGGGTCTTGAACGAGTCCGGAAGGTTGAGGATGATGGAGATTACCACCACCCATGATGGTAGCTCAAAGCCGGCAGATTTGAGTTGGTGTGTAAGGTTTCCAACTCGATCAAAGTAGGAGCGAAGACTTGTTGTTGGGTCCATCCGTGTAGTGATGAGATCCCGAAGGAGAGCCACTTGTGCATGGTTGCCCATGCAGTCGAACCGCGCCATGATGCATCCCCACATATCCTTTGTCGTGTTGGCTTGAGCAAGAGTGAGCGATAGTTGAGGATGGACGGCTGACATGAGAAGATAGTATGCATGCTCCTCTTTTTCTTCATCCGGCAGCGAAGCAATCGAATGGGCTGTCTTAGGGGCTGCACCGCTGTTGCCTTCGGTAGTCTCTCCACCGCTGGTTGTGGAAGAGGAGATTGAAGGACGCGAAGCAACCTTGGGATCTCCAAGGAGGGAGATCAGCCCGAGGACATTGAAGATGTAGCAGATCTTTTTCTTCCATGGAATGAAGTTGGAACCATCTGGTTCCAAGGTGGGAAGGGTGTGCCGACCGAGAGGCATTTCAACTTGAGCCATGAAGTGTGCAACGTTCACTAAGCTAGAAGCCTTGCTCTGATAGCATGTAGAATGAGGATCGGTGAACTTGAGGCACAATGAGAGAAGAACAATATATCCTTAGTAGAAAGATGGTACAAGCCTGAAAGGCTAGAGCAATGTCCTTTCCAAGGATGAGTTCTAGAGAAGTGGGAAGCCACATTTATGTGGCTGAACTCTTGAGGCTAGCTGCAGCACCTCAAAGCTGAGGGCAGGGCTAGCCAACCTTGCCAAGCTAGCAATTGAGGCCACATGTTGCACATGTGGGCCAGGCTGGAACAACAGCCTACATGGCAGCATGTGGCACACCATAGGAGCCAACAAGGTGAGTATGGGATGGGTGGACAGATGGCAATGCCAACTGTGACCACACTTCACTGTGGGTGAGTGTGGTGGAGTGTGGGAGTGTCATGTTCGGCATAATGAGAAGAGAAGGTGCTGCCGATGAGAGTTGAACCCGCAACTACTAAGACCAAAGGTACCCACTGGGACATTCTTGCTTCCACAACACACATGACGACACATAAGTGAGTGAGTACATTTGGGAGCACATGGTATGGCAGCACAGCATGGCAGCACGAGATGACACACGGCAACAGCACTCGCAACCTATACAGAAATACACATGCATGGATGCATGCGTCTATGCAGTGCAGGTATGGTATGGATGACCTTAGACATGCACACGGCATGGCGGTTTATGATGTACACAAGCGTTTCAAGAGCACACATAACTGACGTACCCCTACGCACTTGGAAGGAAGGTAGGCATCTGGCATGCGCAGCACATGTATAATGATAACTCCCGAAATGGAAATTATTCGCAAATGTCCCCTTACACTACATTTTCATCAAGGAATAGTTGCACGACGATGGTTGCGCCGCCAGACTCGCACTTGTACACTGTAACCTGCAATACAAGCACAATAATCAGGCACAATAATCAAGCATAATAATCGGGCACAATAATCAGGCACAATAATCAGGCACAATAATCAGGCACAATAATCAAGCACAAAAACCAGGCACAATAATCAGGCACAATAATCAAGCACAAAAACCAGGCACAATAATCAGGCACACTAAATCAAGCACAACAATCAAACACAATAATCAAGCACAATAATCAGGCACCTCAGAGATCCTCTTACAAATATTGAAGGGAAAGAAATTTAGGTTGTGGGAAAGCTTGTGTTATGCATTGTACTCTCCATTCACGCACAAAAAGCAGCTCACAAGCAACTCCATCCCGGATCCAACACACAAGCCCATCAGTTAAATTCCAAATAGCATCTGCATACCCTGTTGCTAGACGCGCTAGCAAACAATCCGTGAGATGTCTCAAAAAGCAGCACACAAGCAACTTCCTCACATTCAATACACAAACCCGTTCGTTCACTTCCTGAATCGGATTCGCGTACCCTGTTGCCAGAGACGTTCATTGTTGTACCCTTAACCCTGTCTCGTACCCTGTTGCCAGACACGTTCTTTGTTGTACCCTAAACCCTGTCGTTAAAGTCGTACCCTGTTGCCTGAGACGCTAGCGAACATGTCGAGGTAGCGAGGATCGATGGTGTTGAAGCATCCCCCGAACACCGGCTTCCGGCCTTCACTGACCTGCACAAGAGGGTGATAATGAGGACGGGAGGATGCTTATAAAGGGGTTAACAGGAGCAAATGTCGAGGTAGCGAGGGTCAATGGTGTTGAAGCACCCCTCAAACACGGGCTTGCGGCCATCGCTAACCTGCACTGCACGGGAGGATGGTGATGAGTGGGACAATAGGAGCAGAACTAGTCAAGATAGAGAGGGTCAACGGCTCAATAACGTTGAAGCATCCCCCAAATACGAGCTTCCAGCCTTCGCTAACCTGCATGGGAGGGTGGTTATGAGGATGGAATAATGCTTATAAAGGGGACAGCAGGAACACATGTTGAGGGTGCGAGAAGGATCAACGGTGTTGAAGCACCCCCCCAAACACGGGCTTCCGGCCTCCACTGACCTGCACGGGTAGGTGATTATGTGACTTTTGAGTCGACTCAAAAGTCACCATGAAGCACACCCCCAAATACGAGCGTCCGGCCTCCACTGACCTGCACGGGTAGGTGATTATGTGGATGGGAACATGCAGCAAGGGTAGATGTTGTTGAACCATTCCCCACCCCAAACACGGGCTTTAAGCCTTTACTGACCTTTGTAAGTGAGGCGAGGGATGACAGGACAGAAAGACCAAGGAGACGAATGACTGGAGATCGTGATTTATGACAGAAACGATAACCATCAACCATCATCGCATTCGCATTCACCTTCATAACGGCTTTGTACTCGCGTCGCTTTCCTCGCAACGCGGCGCCGCGATTCGGCCCTCCCGGCGCCATCCCGAAGTTATTACGCTCTACACTATGTCTTCTTAACCTCACCAAAACAGTATCGAGCCACGCTCTACACCGAGTACTTGGCGGAACACACGCGCACTGCCATCGAGAACCACAGCGATCCCACGAGTCCTACAGGAATGTTCGAAGACAATTGGTAAACCGAAGAGGAAAGTACCACGATCAATATTTACTCATATAAGAAAAATGCTTGCCAATCTAGAAGACTCAATCATTCTCCGCGCAGATGCTGCACGCCCGGCGCTCTCGTTAGAGCCCTCGGAATTGACGGCACGACTGAAATCGCTACTGCACGGTAAGCTCCCTTATTCTCAGGACACGCGACGCGCGAAACTAATCTAAAATCGACACTCGCGCATCTGATGGGATGTACAGGCCAGGATATGCTAGAGGACGGAGATAAAACAGCAGAGGCTTTTACAACTCCATCGATTCGTATGGTGCAGTACGACTCTCGGACGTATGGACTGTTACGATACGATACGGTACGGTGGAATGGGTTTCAACTTTCCCCCAACTGGTGATCTCACATTGCTTCGCGAAGGAATCACTACGCTGTTCACGATACCTCGCAAGAGAGTCACAAAGTTCGCTAACCTGTATGTAGAGCGGTCGACAACAAGCGAACTATCATTTGGTTACCAAATACAGGAAGGGAAAACCAAAAGCAGAGTTTCTGCATTCAATGTTTCTTCCACTTCAAAAACTGCTGGCTGCCAAGCATCTTTCGCGCCGCCCTTTGCGCGTAGTGGTGGTAGCGAGGAAACCCGTTGGTGTAGTTTCCCTTCTTCTACCGCGCTCTCGCTCTAGGTAAGACGACGCAGCCGTTGAACTGATTTAGTTCTTTGGTTATTATGGGAAGTGGACTGCTCGGTGCGTTAGGATGGTTTTTAGGGTTTCATTGACGAATGACACGTAGTTAACTGGCGACATCAAATTATACTCTCGTTCGAGTCTCGATTCAACTTCAAAGTCTTTCACTGTCCTCGCAAAATTCATAACCCCACCATCCTCGCACAACCTTTCCCGTGTGTCCTGTCCCCCTCCCTGCCCTTCTCACGCCCGGCTTCCCCTTTCGCTTTGCAAATCCGTCCCATTCCTCATCTCGCCTTTAACTCTCCCCTTATCGTTCTCCCCTTATCATTCTGCGTGTCTCCTCTCATTGGCCCCGCTCCAGGCACAGGAAGATCCAATCTGCATCCAATCCAAGATTCGCTCCATCAATAAAGCAGAACAGCACTCACTCTTTCGTCCACGGAACCCACATTCAGCAGTCCAGCAGTTCCGCCTTGCACACTACAGCTACACCGGCCAGTCCACAGCGCACACAAGTTGCCCAGCATGCTTTCATGCGGCCACGTGCCAATCACCCATCACTGCACACCCAGCAGAGTGCGCACACCTTCCTGCAGAGTGACAAGGAGCACCAGCCGTACACCTCCTCCTGCTGCTGCTGTCTGCCATGCTCCCTCGTGCTGCCAAACATCTTCTGCTGCTGTCTCGTCCTGGAGCAGCCATATCCGCATCAGCAGCAGCATAAGTTCTCGCAGTAGCTTAAGTCCTAGCAGCAGCAGCAGCAGCAGCAGCAGCACGGGTCAACTCAAGGGCGGGCTGTCAGGGTGGGGATTTATGCCAGGGAGAAACTCAGGGCTGGAAGGCTCAGGGGCAAGGCGAGGGGTTGTTGCTCATGCCAGACGCAAGAGGGTGAGTTTTCATCCGTTTTCTTGTTTGCAGTAGCCTCCTGCAGCAGGAAAATTCCTAGCAATAGTATGGGCCACAGCAGGGGTGGGCTATCAGGGTTGGGATGTGAGACGCCAAGGGGAAACCCGTGGATTGGAAGGCTCATGGGCAAGGTGGGGAGTCGTTGCTCATCCGAGACGCAAGGGGGTGAGTTTTCAACATCACTTCATGTCTTCGCTTGAGCGTAAGTCCTAGCAGCAGCAGCACGGGTCACAGCAGGGGCGGGTTGTCAGGGTTGGGATGTGAGGCGCGAAGGGGAAACCCAATGCCGGAAGGCGAGGGGCAAGGCAAGGGGTTGTTGCTCACGCCAGACGCACGAGGGTGAGTTTTTCAAAGTCAATTCATGTCTTCGCTAAGGGTGGAAGGCTCAAGGGCAAGGCAAGGGGTTGTTGCTCACGCCAGACGCACGAGGGTGAGTTTGAAACGCCATTCATATGAGCACCAGCACCAGCAGAAGTCCTAGTAGCACCAGCACGGGTCACAGCAGGGTCGGGCTGTCAGGGTTCGGATATGAGATGCCAATTGGGAACCCGTTGGTGGATGGCCCAGGGGCAAGGCGAGGGGTTGTTGCTCACGCCAGGGTGAGTTTTCCAAGTCATTTCATGTCTTCGCATTAGCAGCAGCAGCACAGGTCACAGCAGGAGCGGGCTGCCAGGGCTGGGATGTGAGACGGCAAGGGGAAACCCGTGAGTAGAACGCTCAGGGGCAGGGCCAGGGGTCATGCCAGACGCAAGGAAGTGAGCTTTCAACTGTTTCCTACTTTCGTTCCTGTGGCCTCTGCTGCTGGTTGCTTTCGGCTGCAGCCACTTTCGCAGCTAGTGTCCTTGCATACTCGAATTTTGAGCCGACTCAAAAAGCGACTTATCAGCTGCAGTCACTTTCGCAGCTAGTGTCCATGCATACTAACTACTACCTGTGCAGATAGCACTGTCCCATAAGTGTGGACTGATATCCAGCCATGCATACTACCACCTCTGCTTGTGCTTCTCACTCTTTGTAGACCACCTGCTCGTCCCGTCTCGCCCTGTCCTATGGTTAAAGTGCATGGTTCAACCATGCACTATCAATATAAAGCTCACTGACATATGATCTCATGGGTTTTTCCCGGCTCTCCTCTGTCACCATCTCATCCCCTTTACAGAAGAACCCGCAACCAGATAAGCTCATGGGTGGTGTAGAACAACTAGTTGACGAGCATGACATTGAAAAAGTCGCGTCAGCCAATCAGCTCTCAGCTGATGATGTGGCAGCAGGGGAGCTGTCGCTGGACTGTAACCGCTTCCTGATTGGCCGCAGCATGATCAACGACCGAGTGAGCGACCATGAGGAGGGGATCACGTGGCTGCGGTCGGCCCCGCGCCTGCTGTGGGTGGCTCGGGAGAGGCGTGCCGAGGCTGATGCAGCTGAGAGGCAGAGGAGGCAGGAGAAGTAGGGAAGATGGACATAGGGTGGACACTTCCTTGCATGTTTGCTCTGAAATGGTACATTAAATGAAGTGCTACAAGCATGCTGGATTTATGATGGTACAGAAAACAGGTCCTTTTCACGACTAAGTGAATGACCGCGAGGGAGGGATTACGTGGCTGCAATCGGCCTGGGCCCCTGCGCCTGCTGTGGGTGGCTCAGGAGAGGCGTGCTGCGGCTGACGCTGCAGACAGGCAGAGGAGACAGGAGAAGTAGGGAGGATGGGCAATAGGCGGACGCTACTTAGTACTGTATGTGTTGGGCTGAGAATTTCAGCCTTAGGATCTTTGCAGAGAATAGGCTAGTAGGTGCTAGAGTAGCACAGCGGAAGACTTGAGTGAATGTACTTGTGCTGGTGTGTGAGAACAAGTAATTGATTAAAGCAAAGAGCATACAGGAATATATAGGAAAGATGGATTACAGGAAGCGGTTGTGTTTATCGAGACGCGTAACGCTTCGACTATCGAGGCGGTTACTGTTCACTGAAGCGTCGCTTGCCGTTACGTAACCTCCAGGCGGTTACAGATCGCAACCTCCAGTTGCGGTTTGATGTGGTACGCGCCCTTTCGACTTCGTACCCCTTTTGTTGTGCTTCAGTATCGGGTGAGGTTCGATACTACAGAAACGCACCAAGTCATGCGTTTATATTCCCAACAGTATGTTTTATGAGTAGAATGAGACGTCTAAGACACGTTTTATCAGTCAAATGCAGGCGGTGTTGTGCCCCCCTACAGCAGTTGGCGCCTTGATATGAAGACCTTATGAGAATTGTAGGTTCATGTACAGTGTTACGACCTTAGGTGTGCAGTGGTGCAATGCTCAGTAGGCGAGGTCTTTATTCGTCAACTAGTGTCAACCATGAGGTGTCGAAGGGGACAAATGCTACCGAGGCAAGGGGCCGCGAATCATGGTTGAGCCACGAGCGGTGCGACTTCAAACAAACCTCCCATGCTGAACAATGCATTCCAGCCTCTCTGCCATTTGCTGATTTCAACCACTCTGGCATTTGCTGATTTCAACCACTCTGGCATTTGCTGATTTCAACCACTCTGGCATTCGCTGATTCCAGTCTCACGCCCACTCGCTGATTCCAGCGTTGCTGGCATTTGCAGCATCCAGACCGAAGATCCTGACTCCCGTGGGACATCAACGGACGTAAGTCTCGTGATTAGATGTCCGGAAATTAGGGCCTGTCCATAGTCGTTCCTCTGGCATGTCAAGTTCAGCCTCGCCTCTACAGTACCCTTGTTCACAGACGTCGAATGGTGCTTGCGGGCAGGTGAATAGTTTCACTGTACTTGATACTACACCCTCTTTCTCGCCATTGTGAATTCGGTTATAGTGAAGTCAAGATGGGAAAAGCACGGTTGACGGTGGTTAGATTAAGTCTAGATATGGTTAAATCAGACAAATCGAAGGTAACTAGGTTTTCCATCAGTTCAGCCCAGTTCAGTGTAGTGAGAAACAGGGTGTACTCAGCATACTCAAGATAACTGTACATCACTTTGTTGCGTGATACTTCGTTTGTGGGCAGAGCAGTGCCAAGTAGCACGGGGTGACTGTTTGCCTATCAAGGTGTGCAGCAAACTGTAGCAGGAAGTTAAATTTCCGTTGAGTTTCGTTGACGGATGTCCTCAGAAGCTAACGCCTCCTTCTGAGACGCCCTAAGCTGCGTCAGCCACACACAGCACAACACAGCACAGGCGCCGAGTCATCGTGACGCAATGTCTGTGCCACCGAGGCAGGAAATGAGGAACGAGCCGCGTTGAAAAAACAGACCCCTGCCCTATCTGATGGGACTATCACTGTAGTGAATTGGTTGGGCGACAACCCAGCGGCATCAGCGGAGATTAGGAATAGCTAGTGAGGGTGGGTCCAAGAATGTACATATTTCGCAGAAAACCCTACCCAACCATCTCGTTTTTCAAATAAACAGCTCTAGCTCGGCTCCAAACCTTTTACAACCGCATTCGGACGTACTCTCTGGACACGCCCAAAGGACCAAAACCCTTGTTTCTTCCGAAGATGCTCTGCATACAAGCAGGCGACTTAAGGTCCAAACTCCGCGTAGAAAGTAGAAGCTGAGACAAAGCTGCCAGCATTGCGCCTACGTTGAGATATTTCGCCGACTTGGTCCCTCTGTTTAACGTTTTCTCCCTAAGTTATAGTGTGCACGTACAACAAGTTATCCAAGCCGGTCACGCAACTACTTACGATAATGAATACCGGCAGATTACCAAGTAAACTGGCTGTCCCCGCGACGGCCGTGATCGTTACTCTCCTAGGACTCGTTATGATCATGCCTGTGCGGCCGTGCTCTGCGGTCCATCATGTAGCACAACCAGGTATAGCCCCCCCCGGGCACGTCAACCTCCGCCCTTATCGTCTGTGCCATCAGAGCTCAGACCAGCTAACTCTGCTCTTTCCCCCCTGCTTTCCCCCTCCCACTTTTCATAACAGCAGTCGGAAGCCCCTTTTCTTTATTGGCAATACATCGTGCATTCATCAGTTCAGACTCACAACTAACTCCCTGCTCTGTCACTAACAGCCACTGCTCTTTCCTCCCCTTATCTCTCCCCCTTTCCTCCCCACCTCTATATTCGGAAGATCCAACACGAAGGAAATACATTCGTGCCAATGGGATTAGACCCTAACTCCCTGCTCTTTCTTCCCTGATTTTCTCTCCCCCCCTCCGCCCCACCCCCTTGCTTTCCTCCCTGCTTTTCATAGTCGGAAGGCCCAACACGAAGCAGTACATGGTGCATCTATCGTCGGTGCCGTCAGTGCTGTCGTACCAGGGGGGAGTCAACGGGCTGCGGGCCACAGCGACCGTCGACGATGAGGACGACGAGTATGAGGACGAGGAAGACGTGGATGACTTGGATTATGAGAATCTCGTGGATGGAGATGCTATTGGTGATGGCAATGGTGGCATGGGTGGAAGCGGTGTCAATGCCACTGCACCAGGATCAGCACCAGAAGCAGAAGCAGGGGCAGCAGCAGCAGTGGCAGAATCAGAAGTGAAACTGACAACGTCTGAATCTGGTGACGATGGCTTCGATGCCGATATTCACTTTGCAAGTGCGGCTGCTGCAGAGGCGGCAATGGAGATGGCAGGAGTGGTAACAGGTGCAGGAGCAGCTGCAGGAAAGGAGGGGATTGCAGGGGTAGCAGCAACGGCTGTAGCAGGAGGAAGAGGGGTGGGAGGAGGAAGCAGAGGAGGAGCAGTGAGGGTGAGCGCACTGCCGTTTGGGCGAACCGGGGTGGATGCGCTGGTGGAGAGGGTGGGTCAGCGGCTGAGAAGGATGAAATCGCGGTCTGTTGGCCGGCGCCTGCTGGCCCGCGTTGCTGCTGCTGCAGTGGCCGCAGCAGCAGAGGAGGCCGCAGAGGAAGCAACAGGAGCAGCAGCTGGTGCTGCTGCTGGTGCTGCTTCTGTCACAGAGTCATTCCAGAACTCCTCCCTTTACCCTTCAGCTGTTTCTACTACAACTGTCAACGCCATTCATAGCACGTCAGCAGCAGTGCTGACGGTGCAGCAGCTGAGTGCACGTGCCGCGCGCATCATGCGCTCAACGCCGTGGGGCCGACTCATGCGCCCCGACGTGCGGTTACCACACGTCCAGGCCTTCACCCGCTTCCTGGAAGCTTCTCACCGCAGCCTGCTGCAGTCGCTCAAGATCCCTTCCTCAGCCATTTTCCACAGGTGAGGAAGAGGGGAAGGGTATAGGGAGGTGGCGGAGGGTAGGCGGGAAGGAGGGGGAAGAGGGGTAAGTTGGGGGGCGGTATGTATGTGTGGAGGAAGGGGAAAGGGTGGGAGGGGTAGTGTGGTTGGAGAGCGGGGGTCTATTTGAGTTTCAGAGTTGGAAGTGGATAAATTGGTCCAATCAAACGATTTTTCCGGGCTTTAACCTCGGTCGTTTACCACAGGTGGATTTGGGGACCAGGGTTTACCATTCAAACCGGCGGTCATGCCTTATTTACCCCCTTCCATCACCTGCTTCCCGCCCACCTTTCCCCCTTCCACCCTCTCCCATTTCCACCCTCTCCCTCTTTCTACCCCTCAGCTACACATATCTGATGAACAGCTTTGCAGCGCAACTGACTGCTTCTGAAGCAAGGCGACTCAAATTGCACCCAGCAGTGGCAGAGGTGGAGAGAGACAGGTCAGTGGAAGTGGCCTCGGTGCACTCCCCTGAGTTCCTCAAGCTCGACTCGAGCCTGTGGCCGGCGAATGGCGGGCAGAGCAACGCTGGAGAGGGAGTGATCATCGGAGTGATCGACTCGGGGATCTGGCCCGAACACCCCTCCTTTTCTGACCATGTGAGTGCGCCGAGTGACTGACGGCTATTTCTTTAACATGGTAATCGAGGTTTGGACGAGCAACGTTGGAGAGGGAATTAGTATCAGAATAATTGACCCAGGGATCTGGCCTGAACGCCCCTCCTTTTTTGACATTGTAAACCCAAATGTTCCCTGCTTCTTGACCCTGTAAGCCCAAAGATTGTCCTTGGTCTCAAACCAACAGTTTGAGGATTTCCAACCGTTCCAAGCCATCCTCTCCTCTCCTCCTCTCCTCCTCTCCTCTTCTCCTCTCCTCCTCTCCTCTCCTGTCCTCCTCTCTTCTCCTCCTCTTCTCCTCTCCTCTTTTCCTGTCCTCCTCTCCTCTTCTCCTCCTTCTCCTCCTCTCTGTGGAGAGTCACTCTACAACGGATAGGCTGGACTAAGTGGGAAGGCACGGGGTTGTACACGTGATCGCTGCGTTCCTTGTGTTCTCTCTACCTGCTTGTTCACGGGGCAAAACGGCAAAAGCTTCACAAAAAAATGAGAACAATAATGATGCACAGTGGTAATGGCAAATAGATTACATCAGAAGCCTAGCAAACAAGCAAGTCGACCTCCAGCGCAGATCGGCGGCCTGTCAGCGCAGCTGGGAGGAGGCTTGCCAATGCTACAGGATGGCAACCTACCAGTGTTGCACCGGCGGCTTGCCAATGCTACAGGATGGCAACCTACCAGTGTTGCACCGGCGGCTTGCCAACGCTGCAGCACGGCGGCTTGCCAACGCTGCAGCACGGCGGCTTGCCAACGCTGCAGCACGGCGGCTTGCCAACGCTGCAGCACGGCGGCTTGCCAACGCTGCAGCACGGCGGCTTGCCAACGCTGCAGCACGGCGGCTTGCCAACGCTGCAGCACGGCGGCTTGCCAACGCTGCAGCAAGGCGGCTTGCCAACGCTGCAGCACGGCGGCTTGCCAACGCTGCAGCACGGCGGCTTGCCAACGCTGCAGCACGGCGGCTTGCCAACGCTGCAGCACGGCGGCTTGCCAACGCTGCAGCACGGCGGCTTGCCAACGCTGCAGCACGGCGGCTTGCCAACGCTGCAGCACGGCGGCTTGCCAACGCTGCAGCACGGCGGCTTGCCAACGCTGCAGCACGGCGGCTTGCCAACGCTGCAGCACGGCGGCTTGCCAACGCTGCAGCACGGTGGCTTGCCAACGCTGCAGCACGGCGGCTTGCCAGCGTTGCAATTGCAGGTGCCCATGTGCGCATGTGTACACCTGCCCATTAGGTGCAGGTCGACGGTTAAGCACGTCGTGCACCTTCACGCACATTGCGCAGGTGCCAAGTTGGCCACGTGCCGACGGCTGCTCCCAGGTGTGCCATGTTGACCTCGTGATGCCACCACGCAAGTCGACTTCGCCAAAACCTCTTGGACGATGCTCGCGCACCGCCGCAGAACGTCGTCGACAAGGTAACCGTGTCGACCAGATGATGCCCTGGGCGCCTACAAGTCGGCGCCCGCGACGAACTCCTTCGTCCACCGCCTAGGTCGAAGCCGCCCGCCGACTTCACCTCGTCGGCGACATTGTAGTGGTCCCGTGGAAGTCGACCAAGTCTGTCGACTTCTGCCCAAAAGTCGGCGTCGACCGGCTGCACCTCCAGCACACTCGACTGCAAAGTCGGCTTCACCCAAGTGAGGTCGGGCTAATTTTCTGTCAACACTCTCCTCCTCTCCTCCTCCATTCCTCTTCCCCCAGGACACAAGCGGAGTGTCTTAATCCACTGCCCCGGTCCCTGACGCCCGCACCTCCCCTCCTCTCCTCCTCTTCCCCCAGGACACAAGCGGAGTGTCTTACTCCAATGCCCCGGTGCGCTGGAGAGGCGTGTGCAGCACAACAGACGACTTCACTGCGTGCAGCCGCAAGGTGGTTGGAGCGAGGTATTTTCTCAAGGGTGCGGAGCGGGCGTTTGGCCAGGTGAACACCATAGTCAATTACCGGTCGCCACGGGACATGCTGCAGCACGGCACGTGGTGCGCGGGGTGAGTAAGTGAGGCATGCAATTCTTTTCCCCTCCGAGACATGCTCTTCTTTTCCCCTCCTAGACACGCTCGCCATGCAGGACATACTGCACATGCTGCAGGACGGCACGAGGTATGCGAGGTGAGTGGACCAGTCATGTGCAGCACGGCAGAGGCGTGCTTTGGTTCGAATGCTGCTTGGTTGGTGTGAACGTGATGTGGTGTAGGCATGGTGTGGTGTGAGTGAGCATGGTATGGTGTAAGCATGTTTTGGTGCAAGTGCTGCTTGGTGTGAGTGAAGTGACAGCCGGAGTCACACCGTCTTGCATGGCACGACTGTCATATCATGGAAATACCCTACCTACTCCCCACCCCCCCCTTCCCTCTTCTCCCCCCTCTTCCGGGCTGCTGCGGCAAACGCTGGTGTGGCAAAGCAAAGGCCATGCCGTGAGTGTCACAAGGTCAGACTGACGGCACAGGAAAGGGCATGACATGCGTGTTACAGAAATGCAGCACCTACCTACTCCCCACAACTCCCCTCCCTCCTCCTTCCCCTTCAGAGCTGCTGCTGGAAACGCAGGTGTGGAGGTGACAGTGGGAGGCCGGACCTTTGGCACAGCCTCAGGCATGGCACCGAGGGCCAGGCTGGCGGTATACAAGGCGCTGTGGATGTATGGTCATTGGAATACGGTGAAGGGACAAGGAGCGACTTCTGACCTCATAGCCGCTGCAGAGAAGGCGGTGGCTGATGGAGTGGACGTGATCTCGTGCTCGTGGGGCGGCCTTGCCCTGTACTTCCAAGACTTGCCGTACCTGCGAGGGCTTAAGGTGAGAGTCTAGGGCTACATAGCTGCATTGGCAGCAGCCTTGGTAACAACCTTGGCAGCACCTTTGGCAGCACCTGCATTTGCAAAGCTTTGATGCCTCCCAATCTACCAGGCTGGATGATCATAACCCATCAGGAGTCTCATGCCTCCCATTCCCACCCTGCCATTCTCACCCTCCTATTCTCGCCCTCCAATTCTGACCCTCCCATTCACACCCTCCGATTCACACCCTCCGATTCACACCCTCCCATTCACACCCTCCCATTCACACCCTCCCATTCACACCCTCCCATTCACACCCTCCCATTCACACCCTCCCATTCACACCCTCCCATTCACACCCTCCCATTCACACCCTCCCATTCACACCCTCCCATTCTCACCCTCCATTCACACCCTCCCATTCACACCCTCCCATTCACACCCTCCCATTCTCACCCTCCGATTCACACCCTCCCATTCACACCCTCCCATTCACACCCTCCCATTCACACCCTCCCATTCACACCCTCCCATTACAACCTCCCATTCACACCCTCCCATTCACACCCTCCCATTCACACCCTCCACTTCACACCCTCCCATTCATACCCTCCCATTCACACCCTCCCATTCACACCCTCCCATTCACACCCTCCCATTCACACCCTCCCATTCACACCCTCCCATTCTCACCCTCCCATTCACACCCTCCCATTCACACCCTCCCATTCACACCCTCCCATTCTCACCCTCCCATTCACACCCTCCCATTCACACCCTCCCATTCACACCCTCCCATTCACACCCTCCCATTCACACCCTCCCATTCTCACCCTCCCATTCACACCCTCCCATTCACACCCTCCCATTCACACCCTCCCATTCTCACCCTCCCATTCACACCCTCCCATTCACACCCTCCCATTCTCACCCTCCCATTCTCACCTGTTCAACTTCCAGGCCGGGGTGGTCACAGCCTTTGCAGCCGGGAATGCGGGCCGGCCCAACCTCCTATTCTCACCCTCCGATTCTGACTCTCCCATTCGCACCCTCCCGTTCTCACCCTCCCATTCCCATCCTCCCGTTCTCCCCCTCCCATTCTGACCCCTCTATATTGACCCTCCTTTTTTATTCTATCCCTCCCATTCTCACCCTCCATATCCTCACCTGTCCAACTTCCAGGCCGGGGTGGTCACAGCCTTTGCAGCCGGGAATGCGGGCCGGCCCAACCTCCTATATGGAGTCCGGGGCACTCCTTTAGCCTCCTTCTCTCACCCTCCCATCCTCACCCTTCTTTTCCTCACCTGTTTAACTTCCAGGCCGGGGTGGTCACAGCCTTTGCAGCCGGAAATAAGGGCCGGCCCAAGCGCATGAACATGCTGGGCACGCTTTCTAATGCCTCCCCCTTCTACCTCACAGTGGGAGCAAGGTACGGCTGGAGTGGGGGGCAAGGTGGGGAAGGCGTGTTGAGGGAGGATGATGGTAACGAGGGTTGGACCAACCCCCAGGGGTTCCCCACCAATCCTTGTGGGGAACTCTTTTTAGTGCCTCTCCTTATACCTCACAGTGGGAGCTAGGTGCAGTTGGAGTGTGGGGGAGGTAACAGGAGGAGGGGAGGGAGAGGCGTGGGGGGGGGGGAGTAAGAAGGGGAGCATGCAGGGCACTCTTTCGAATGCGTCTCCCTTCTATCTCACAGTGGGTGCAAGGTTCGGTTGGAGTGAGGTGGAACCACCTTCACAGCACGCAGTTAGAACATGGAGTAAAATCAACACAACAACCTCTCACCCCCACTCTTCGTCTCCATTTTCCTCACCCCCACTCTTCACATTCCCCACCCACCATTCCCAACCCCCCACTGCTTTTTCTTTCAGCACCATGGGGAGGGAGTACACGGCTGTGCCCACCCTGGGCGATGGAACCACCTTCCTCTCAACCTTCCCCTTCCCCCTGACCGCCTACCAATGCTCCCCCTCAGCACCATGGGGTGGGCGTGGGAGTACACGGGGGTGCTCAACCCGGGAAGTGGCTCGAGCCTCCCTCCTCCCCTTATCAAACTCCCCATCCACCCCCACCGCGCACCACTGCTCCCCACTGCAGCACCATGGGGAGAGAGTACACGGCGGTGCTGACTCTGGGCGATGGAACCACCTTCACAGGGCGCAGGTTCGGCGGCACCGCTGCCCTGTGGTACAATGTTTGTGCTCACCTTCAAAGGGCCCAGTCAGAGGATTCATTGGGACCAACCCACGTTTCGTCTCACTTCCCCTCAAGCCCCAACCCCCCCCCCCCTCTCCCCTGTACCACCATTTCTTCCCAACTCAGCACAACGGTTGTTCTCACCCAGGGAAATGGAACCACTTTCCTCTCCACCTCCCCATCCACTCCCACCGCCCACCACCGCTCCCTGCTGCTTCCCACCACAGCACCATGGGGCGGGATCACACGGCAGTGCTCACCCTGGGCAATGGAAACACCTTAACAGGACGCAGCTGCGTCGGCACCGCTGTTATGGCGTCACCTCTGCCCCTCAACCCACCATTTCTCCCACCGCAGCACCATGGGGCAGGAGTACAAAGCGGTGCTCACCCTGGGCAATGGAACCACCTACCTCTCCACCTGCCCATCCACCCCCACCGCCCACCACTGCTCCCCACTCCTCCCCACCGCAGCACCATGGGGCGGGATTGCACAGTGGTGCTCACCCTGGGCGATGGAACCACCTTCACAGGGCGCAGCTTTGGCAGCACCGCTGCCACGGTGTCACCTCTGCCCCCTCAAACCCCCCCTCTCCCCTCCCACCCACCGCTGCTCCCACCACAGCACCATGGGGCGGGAGTACAAAGCTGTGCTCACCCTGGGCGATGGAACCACTTTTCTCTCCACCTGCCCATCCAGCCCCACCACCCACCACCGCTCCCCACCGCTCCCCACTGCAGCACCATGGGGCGGGATTACACAGCAGTGCTCACCCTGGGCAATGGAACCACCTTCACAGGGCGCAGCCTCGGCGGCAACTCTGCCACGGCGACACCTCTGCCCCTCATGCTCGCTGGGGATTACACCACTGTGGGCCTCCCAGACGATGTGAGCCTGAAGGGGTTTTGAGACACATCCTAGGACCTAGCCCCATGTACATTGCTCAGTTGGCACTGTCTATGTTTGAGGAATCTGAAATGCGGGTGATGTGAGCTTGAAGGGGGGTTGAGATGCATCCTCGCCCCACTTATATGGCCGAGAAGGCTGTTTTTCTTGTGAAGAGAAGGGCGCGCGGAACTTTAAGGGGTTTTCAGAACCCATCCAGTCATATCTCAGGGTTTTTTTATGTGCTTTCTGCCTAGTCGAAAGGCTCAGCTTTCTATGGCTTCTGGCAGGTACAAAAGCGAGGTGAAGCCTAAGGAGTATCTTGGCCCAGTCTACAAAACTGAGTCTGCTGTGTGTTTTGCTGGGGAGAAGGGCGAGGTGAACTTTAAGGGGACAAAGCCAATCACAGGTTAAGCCATGGATAAGGCATGTTTCCAACCTGTGCTGGTCTAATCCGTGGCACCACACCCGACACGCTGTCAGCTCTGCCCATTTGTGACTTTTGAGTCGACTCAAAAGAGGTGACTTTTGATTCGACTCAAAAGTCACCAAGTCACCTCATTTGTGAATTTTGAGTCGACTCAAACGTCTAATTGGTGCTACAACATGGCCCTAGCGTGCTGCACCATGAACTCAAGTCGCGGGAAAACTACTCGTGTACACCATGCAGGCTTTAGAGTCGACTCAAGAGCCACCATGCCTTCTCCACCTCCCTTTCCCGCCACCCCACCAGGCCTACCAGTACTACAGGGGGTATTTATATGCCACTCAAATCGAATTATCTTTTGAGTCGACTCAAATTCAACCCACCGTGCCTTCACCTCCTTTCCCCCCACCAGGCCTACCAATGCTACAGAGGGTATGTAGATGTCACCCGAGTTGCCGGGAAGTTCCTCGTGTGCTCCCTGTTCGATCGCACCCTGTCGGGGATCGTTGCAGACGTGGACAGGATGGGAGCGGCTGCTGTACTCGTTTTAAACGCAACGGTGCCGCGCGAAACGCAGTACAGCATCCCGTTCTCAAGGACCCCGATCATCTTCTTAGAAGAAAGGCATTTGTGGACCATTGAGGATTACATCAGAGCTGCAAGCAGGTGAGGACCTATTTCTAGTTTTAAACGGGACAACAAAGCGCAAAATGCAGCACCACATCCCGACAATGTGAGTCGCATCCCTTCTCAAGAAACCCGACCACCTTGATAGTTTTGATGCATTTGTTGACCATTAAAAGACATATCAGTGTCGAAACCAGGTGTGGACCTATTTTTCTCTTGCGTTTGGTGTTGCTCCAAGTGCCCTTTTCCAAAACACTTGATCGGCCTTACATCTTCATCAAGCACTCGCCTCTTGTAATATTCCTTCTATTCAAACCCCACCTACAAACCCACCCCACCTATCTCCCCCCCAACTCTCCAATCTTCCTCCTCTCTTCCCTCCTCACTTCCCTCCTATCTTCCCTCCTCTCTGTCGCCCTCTCTTTCCTCCTATTTTCTCCTCTTAGTCCTGCTCTCCACTTCTCCACTCCCACCATACACCGCCTCCTGTTTGACAAACTCTCACTCCCTTCCCACACCCACTTGTTCCTTGCCCCTTCTCCCTCCCCTCCACTCCTTGCCAGTGCATCCCCACTGCCACGCTTTCCGCTTTCACCAACTTCTACTCCTCCACTTCTCACTCCCTTCCCTTTTCACCCTTCCCCTCGCTCCTTCTGAATGCAGCCCCATAGCCACGCTCTCAGCGTTCACTGCCTCCTACTCCTCCAACGCCCCCCAAGTCGCTTACTTCTCTTCCACTGGGCCGCCGCGCAGCCCACTGTTTCCTACTTTCGTTCCTGTGGCCTCTGCTGCTGGTTGCTTTCGGCTGCAGCCACTTTCGCAGCTAGTGTCCTTGCATACTCGAATTTTGAGCCGACTCAAAAAGCGACTTATCAGCTGCAGTCACTTTCGCAGCTAGTGTCCATGCATACTAACTACTACCTGTGCAGATAGCACTGTCCCATAAGTGTGGACTGATATCCAGCCATGCATACTACCACCTCTGCTTGTGCTTCTCACTCTTTGTAGACCACCTGCTCGTCCCGTCTCGCCCTGTCCTATGGTTAAAGTGCATGGTTCAACCATGCACTATCAATATAAAGCTCACTGACATATGATCTCATGGGTTTTTCCCGGCTCTCCTCTGTCACCATCTCATCCCCTTTACAGAAGAACCCGCAACCAGATAAGCTCATGGGTGGTGTAGAACAACTAGTTGACGAGCATGACATTGAAAAAGTCGCGTCAGCCAATCAGCTCTCAGCTGATGATGTGGCAGCAGGGGAGCTGTCGCTGGACTGTAACCGCTTCCTGATTGGCCGCAGCATGATCAACGACCGAGTGAGCGACCATGAGGAGGGGATCACGTGGCTGCGGTCGGCCCCGCGCCTGCTGTGGGTGGCTCGGGAGAGGCGTGCCGAGGCTGATGCAGCTGAGAGGCAGAGGAGGCAGGAGAAGTAGGGAAGATGGACATAGGGTGGACACTTCCTTGCATGTTTGCTCTGAAATGGTACATTAAATGAAGTGCTACAAGCATGCTGGATTTATGATGGTACAGAAAACAGGTCCTTTTCACGACTAAGTGAATGACCGCGAGGGAGGGATTACGTGGCTGCAATCGGCCTGGGCCCCTGCGCCTGCTGTGGGTGGCTCAGGAGAGGCGTGCTGCGGCTGACGCTGCAGACAGGCAGAGGAGACAGGAGAAGTAGGGAGGATGGGCAATAGGCGGACGCTACTTAGTACTGTATGTGTTGGGCTGAGAATTTCAGCCTTAGGATCTTTGCAGAGAATAGGCTAGTAGGTGCTAGAGTAGCACAGCGGAAGACTTGAGTGAATGTACTTGTGCTGGTGTGTGAGAACAAGTAATTGATTAAAGCAAAGAGCATACAGGAATATATAGGAAAGATGGATTACAGGAAGCGGTTGTGTTTATCGAGACGCGTAACGCTTCGACTATCGAGGCGGTTACTGTTCACTGAAGCGTCGCTTGCCGTTACGTAACCTCCAGGCGGTTACAGATCGCAACCTCCAGTTGCGGTTTGATGTGGTACGCGCCCTTTCGACTTCGTACCCCTTTTGTTGTGCTTCAGTATCGGGTGAGGTTCGATACTACAGAAACGCACCAAGTCATGCGTTTATATTCCCAACAGTATGTTTTATGAGTAGAATGAGACGTCTAAGACACGTTTTATCAGTCAAATGCAGGCGGTGTTGTGCCCCCCTACAGCAGTTGGCGCCTTGATATGAAGACCTTATGAGAATTGTAGGTTCATGTACAGTGTTACGACCTTAGGTGTGCAGTGGTGCAATGCTCAGTAGGCGAGGTCTTTATTCGTCAACTAGTGTCAACCATGAGGTGTCGAAGGGGACAAATGCTACCGAGGCAAGGGGCCGCGAATCATGGTTGAGCCACGAGCGGTGCGACTTCAAACAAACCTCCCATGCTGAACAATGCATTCCAGCCTCTCTGCCATTTGCTGATTTCAACCACTCTGGCATTTGCTGATTTCAACCACTCTGGCATTTGCTGATTTCAACCACTCTGGCATTCGCTGATTCCAGTCTCACGCCCACTCGCTGATTCCAGCGTTGCTGGCATTTGCAGCATCCAGACCGAAGATCCTGACTCCCGTGGGACATCAACGGACGTAAGTCTCGTGATTAGATGTCCGGAAATTAGGGCCTGTCCATAGTCGTTCCTCTGGCATGTCAAGTTCAGCCTCGCCTCTACAGTACCCTTGTTCACAGACGTCGAATGGTGCTTGCGGGCAGGTGAATAGTTTCACTGTACTTGATACTACACCCTCTTTCTCGCCATTGTGAGTTCGGTTATAGTGAAGTCAAGATGGGAAAAGCACGGTTAACGGTGGTTAGATTAAGTCTAGATATGGTTAAATCAGACAAATCGAAGGTAACTAGGTTTTCCATCAGTTCAGCACAGTTCAGTGTAGTGAGAAACAGGGTGTACTCAGCATACTCAAGATAACTGTACATCACTTTGTTGCGTGATACTTCGTTTGTGGGCAGAGCAGTGCCAAGTAGCACGGGGTGACTGTTTGCCTATCAAGGTGTGCAGCAAACTGTAGCAGGAAGTTAAATTTCCGTTGAGTTTCGTTGACGGATGTCCTCAGAAGCTAACGCCTCCTTCTGAGACGCCCTAAGCTGCGTCAGCCACACACAGCACAACACAGCACAGGCGCCGAGTCATCGTGACGCAATGTCTGTGCCACCGAGGCAGGAAATGAGGAACGAGCCGCGTTGAAAAAACAGACCCCTGCCCTATCTGATGGGACTATCACTGTAGTGAATTGGTTGGGCGACAACCCAGCGGCATCAGCGGAGATTAGGAATAGCTAGTGAGGGTGGGTCCAAGAATGTACATATTTCGCAGAAAACCCTACCCAACCATCTCGTTTTTCAAATAAACAGCTCTAGCTCGGCTCCAAACCTTTTACAACCGCATTCGGACGTACTCTCTGGACACGCCCAAAGGACCAAAACCCTTGTTTCTTCCGAAGATGCTCTGCATACAAGCAGGCGACTTAAGGTCCAAACTCCGCGTAGAAAGTAGAAGCTGAGACAAAGCTGCCAGCATTGCGCCTACGTTGAGATATTTCGCCGACTTGGTCCCTCTGTTTAACGTTTTCTCCCTAAGTTATAGTGTGCACGTACAACAAGTTATCCAAGCCGGTCACGCAACTACTTACGATAATGAATACCGGCAGATTACCAAGTAAACTGGCTGTCCCCGCGACGGCCGTGATCGTTACTCTCCTAGGACTCGTTATGATCATGCCTGTGCGGCCGTGCTCTGCGGTCCATCATGTAGCACAACCAGGTATAGCCCCCCCCGGGCACGTCAACCTCCGCCCTTATCGTCTGTGCCATCAGAGCTCAGACCAGCTAACTCTGCTCTTTCCCCCCTGCTTTCCCCCTCCCACTTTTCATAACAGCAGTCGGAAGCCCCTTTTCTTTATTGGCAATACATCGTGCATTCATCAGTTCAGACTCACAACTAACTCCCTGCTCTGTCACTAACAGCCACTGCTCTTTCCTCCCCTTATCTCTCCCCCTTTCCTCCCCACCTCTATATTCGGAAGATCCAACACGAAGGAAATACATTCGTGCCAATGGGATTAGACCCTAACTCCCTGCTCTTTCTTCCCTGATTTTCTCTCCCCCCCTCCGCCCCACCCCCTTGCTTTCCTCCCTGCTTTTCATAGTCGGAAGGCCCAACACGAAGCAGTACATGGTGCATCTATCGTCGGTGCCGTCAGTGCTGTCGTACCAGGGGGGAGTCAACGGGCTGCGGGCCACAGCGACCGTCGACGATGAGGACGACGAGTATGAGGACGAGGAAGACGTGGATGACTTGGATTATGAGAATCTCGTGGATGGAGATGCTATTGGTGATGGCAATGGTGGCATGGGTGGAAGCGGTGTCAATGCCACTGCACCAGGATCAGCACCAGAAGCAGAAGCAGGGGCAGCAGCAGCAGTGGCAGAATCAGAAGTGAAACTGACAACGTCTGAATCTGGTGACGATGGCTTCGATGCCGATATTCACTTTGCAAGTGCGGCTGCTGCAGAGGCGGCAATGGAGATGGCAGGAGTGGTAACAGGTGCAGGAGCAGCTGCAGGAAAGGAGGGGATTGCAGGGGTAGCAGCAACGGCTGTAGCAGGAGGAAGAGGGGTGGGAGGAGGAAGCAGAGGAGGAGCAGTGAGGGTGAGCGCACTGCCGTTTGGGCGAACCGGGGTGGATGCGCTGGTGGAGAGGGTGGGTCAGCGGCTGAGAAGGATGAAATCGCGGTCTGTTGGCCGGCGCCTGCTGGCCCGCGTTGCTGCTGCTGCAGTGGCCGCAGCAGCAGAGGAGGCCGCAGAGGAAGCAACAGGAGCAGCAGCTGGTGCTGCTGCTGGTGCTGCTTCTGTCACAGAGTCATTCCAGAACTCCTCCCTTTACCCTTCAGCTGTTTCTACTACAACTGTCAACGCCATTCATAGCACGTCAGCAGCAGTGCTGACGGTGCAGCAGCTGAGTGCACGTGCCGCGCGCATCATGCGCTCAACGCCGTGGGGCCGACTCATGCGCCCCGACGTGCGGTTACCACACGTCCAGGCCTTCACCCGCTTCCTGGAAGCTTCTCACCGCAGCCTGCTGCAGTCGCTCAAGATCCCTTCCTCAGCCATTTTCCACAGGTGAGGAAGAGGGGAAGGGTATAGGGAGGTGGCGGAGGGTAGGCGGGAAGGAGGGGGAAGAGGGGTAAGTTGGGGGGCGGTATGTATGTGTGGAGGAAGGGGAAAGGGTGGGAGGGGTAGTGTGGTTGGAGAGCGGGGGTCTATTTGAGTTTCAGAGTTGGAAGTGGATAAATTGGTCCAATCAAACGATTTTTCCGGGCTTTAACCTCGGTCGTTTACCACAGGTGGATTTGGGGACCAGGGTTTACCATTCAAACCGGCGGTCATGCCTTATTTACCCCCTTCCATCACCTGCTTCCCGCCCACCTTTCCCCCTTCCACCCTCTCCCATTTCCACCCTCTCCCTCTTTCTACCCCTCAGCTACACATATCTGATGAACAGCTTTGCAGCGCAACTGACTGCTTCTGAAGCAAGGCGACTCAAATTGCACCCAGCAGTGGCAGAGGTGGAGAGAGACAGGTCAGTGGAAGTGGCCTCGGTGCACTCCCCTGAGTTCCTCAAGCTCGACTCGAGCCTGTGGCCGGCGAATGGCGGGCAGAGCAACGCTGGAGAGGGAGTGATCATCGGAGTGATCGACTCGGGGATCTGGCCCGAACACCCCTCCTTTTCTGACCATGTGAGTGCGCCGAGTGACTGACGGCTATTTCTTTAACATGGTAATCGAGGTTTGGACGAGCAACGTTGGAGAGGGAATTAGTATCAGAATAATTGACCCAGGGATCTGGCCTGAACGCCCCTCCTTTTTTGACATTGTAAACCCAAATGTTCCCTGCTTCTTGACCCTGTAAGCCCAAAGATTGTCCTTGGTCTCAAACCAACAGTTTGAGGATTTCCAACCGTTCCAAGCCATCCTCTCCTCTCCTCCTCTCCTCCTCTCCTCTTCTCCTCTCCTCCTCTCCTCTCCTGTCCTCCTCTCTTCTCCTCCTCTTCTCCTCTCCTCTTTTCCTGTCCTCCTCTCCTCTTCTCCTCCTTCTCCTCCTCTCTGTGGAGAGTCACTCTACAACGGATAGGCTGGACTAAGTGGGAAGGCACGGGGTTGTACACGTGATCGCTGCGTTCCTTGTGTTCTCTCTACCTGCTTGTTCACGGGGCAAAACGGCAAAAGCTTCACAAAAAAATGAGAACAATAATGATGCACAGTGGTAATGGCAAATAGATTACATCAGAAGCCTAGCAAACAAGCAAGTCGACCTCCAGCGCAGATCGGCGGCCTGTCAGCGCAGCTGGGAGGAGGCTTGCCAATGCTACAGGATGGCAACCTACCAGTGTTGCACCGGCGGCTTGCCAATGCTACAGGATGGCAACCTACCAGTGTTGCACCGGCGGCTTGCCAACGCTGCAGCACGGCGGCTTGCCAACGCTGCAGCACGGCGGCTTGCCAACGCTGCAGCACGGCGGCTTGCCAACGCTGCAGCACGGCGGCTTGCCAACGCTGCAGCACGGCGGCTTGCCAACGCTGCAGCACGGCGGCTTGCCAACGCTGCAGCACGGCGGCTTGCCAACGCTGCAGCACGGCGGCTTGCCAACGCTGCAGCACGGCGGCTTGCCAACGCTGCAGCACGGCGGCTTGCCAACGCTGCAGCACGGCGGCTTGCCAACGCTGCAGCACGGCGGCTTGCCAACGCTGCAGCACGGCGGCTTGCCAACGCTGCAGCACGGCGGCTTGCCAACGCTGCAGCACGGCGGCTTGCCAACGCTGCAGCACGGCGGCTTGCCAACGCTGCAGCACGGCGGCTTGCCAACGCTGCAGCACGGTGGCTTGCCAACGCTGCAGCACGGCGGCTTGCCAGCGTTGCAATTGCAGGTGCCCATGTGCGCATGTGTACACCTGCCCATTAGGTGCAGGTCGACGGTTAAGCACGTCGTGCACCTTCACGCACATTGCGCAGGTGCCAAGTTGGCCACGTGCCGACGGCTGCTCCCAGGTGTGCCATGTTGACCTCGTGATGCCACCACGCAAGTCGACTTCGCCAAAACCTCTTGGACGATGCTCGCGCACCGCCGCAGAACGTCGTCGACAAGGTAACCGTGTCGACCAGATGATGCCCTGGGCGCCTACAAGTCGGCGCCCGCGACGAACTCCTTCGTCCACCGCCTAGGTCGAAGCCGCCCGCCGACTTCACCTCGTCGGCGACATTGTAGTGGTCCCGTGGAAGTCGACCAAGTCTGTCGACTTCTGCCCAAAAGTCGGCGTCGACCGGCTGCACCTCCAGCACACTCGACTGCAAAGTCGGCTTCACCCAAGTGAGGTCGGGCTAATTTTCTGTCAACACTCTCCTCCTCTCCTCCTCCATTCCTCTTCCCCCAGGACACAAGCGGAGTGTCTTAATCCACTGCCCCGGTCCCTGACGCCCGCACCTCCCCTCCTCTCCTCCTCTTCCCCCAGGACACAAGCGGAGTGTCTTACTCCACTGCCCCGGTGCGCTGGAGAGGCGTGTGCAGCACAACAGACGACTTCACTGCGTGCAGCCGCAAGGTGGTTGGAGCGAGGTATTTTCTCAAGGGTGCGGAGCGGGCGTTTGGCCAGGTGAACACCATAGTCAATTACCGGTCGCCACGGGACATGCTGCAGCACGGCACGTGGTGCGCGGGGTGAGTAAGTGAGGCATGCAATTCTTTTCCCCTCCGAGACATGCTCTTCTTTTCCCCTCCTAGACACGCTCGCCATGCAGGACATACTGCACATGCTGCAGGACGGCACGAGGTATGCGAGGTGAGTGGACCAGTCATGTGCAGCACGGCAGAGGCGTGCTTTGGTTCGAATGCTGCTTGGTTGGTGTGAACGTGATGTGGTGTAGGCATGGTGTGGTGTGAGTGAGCATGGTATGGTGTAAGCATGTTTTGGTGCAAGTGCTGCTTGGTGTGAGTGAAGTGACAGCCGGAGTCACACCGTCTTGCATGGCACGACTGTCATATCATGGAAATACCCTACCTACTCCCCACCCCCCCCTTCCCTCTTCTCCCCCCTCTTCCGGGCTGCTGCGGCAAACGCTGGTGTGGCAAAGCAAAGGCCATGCCGTGAGTGTCACAAGGTCAGACTGACGGCACAGGAAAGGGCATGACATGCGTGTTACAGAAATGCAGCACCTACCTACTCCCCACAACTCCCCTCCCTCCTCCTTCCCCTTCAGAGCTGCTGCTGGAAACGCAGGTGTGGAGGTGACAGTGGGAGGCCGGACCTTTGGCACAGCCTCAGGCATGGCACCGAGGGCCAGGCTGGCGGTATACAAGGCGCTGTGGATGTATGGTCATTGGAATACGGTGAAGGGACAAGGAGCGACTTCTGACCTCATAGCCGCTGCAGAGAAGGCGGTGGCTGATGGAGTGGACGTGATCTCGTGCTCGTGGGGCGGCCTTGCCCTGTACTTCCAAGACTTGCCGTACCTGCGAGGGCTTAAGGTGAGAGTCTAGGGCTACATAGCTGCATTGGCAGCAGCCTTGGTAACAACCTTGGCAGCACCTTTGGCAGCACCTGCATTTGCAAAGCTTTGATGCCTCCCAATCTACCAGGCTGGATGATCATAACCCATCAGGAGTCTCATGCCTCCCATTCCCACCCTGCCATTCTCACCCTCCTATTCTCGCCCTCCAATTCTGACCCTCCCATTCACACCCTCCGATTCACACCCTCCGATTCACACCCTCCCATTCACACCCTCCCATTCACACCCTCCCATTCACACCCTCCCATTCACACCCTCCCATTCACACCCTCCCATTCACACCCTCCCATTCACACCCTCCCATTCACACCCTCCCATTCACACCCTCCCATTCACACCCTCCCATTCTCACCCTCCATTCACACCCTCCCATTCACACCCTCCCATTCACACCCTCCCATTCTCACCCTCCGATTCACACCCTCCCATTCACACCCTCCCATTCACACCCTCCCATTCACACCCTCCCATTCACACCCTCCCATTACAACCTCCCATTCACACCCTCCCATTCACACCCTCCCATTCACACCCTCCACTTCACACCCTCCCATTCATACCCTCCCATTCACACCCTCCCATTCACACCCTCCCATTCACACCCTCCCATTCACACCCTCCCATTCACACCCTCCCATTCTCACCCTCCCATTCACACCCTCCCATTCACACCCTCCCATTCACACCCTCCCATTCTCACCCTCCCATTCACACCCTCCCATTCACACCCTCCCATTCACACCCTCCCATTCACACCCTCCCATTCACACCCTCCCATTCTCACCCTCCCATTCTCACCCTCCCATTCACACCCTCCCATTCACACCCTCCCATTCACACCCTCCCATTCTCACCCTCCCATTCACACCCTCCCATTCACACCCTCCCATTCTCACCCTCCCATTCTCACCTGTTCAACTTCCAGGCCGGGGTGGTCACAGCCTTTGCAGCCGGGAATGCGGGCCGGCCCAACCTCCTATTCTCACCCTCCGATTCTGACTCTCCCATTCGCACCCTCCCGTTCTCACCCTCCCATTCCCATCCTCCCGTTCTCCCCCTCCCATTCTGACCCCTCTATATTGACCCTCCTTTTTTTTTCTATCCCTCCCATTCTCACCCTCCCATTCACACCCTCCCATTCACACCCTCCCATTCACACCCTCCCATTCTCACCCTCCCATTCACACCCTCCCATTCACACCCTCCCATTCTCACCCTCCCATTCTCACCTGTTCAACTTCCAGGCCGGGGTGGTCACAGCCTTTGCAGCCGGGAATGCGGGCCGGCCCAACCTCCTATTCTCACCCTCCGATTCTGACTCTCCCATTCGCACCCTCCCGTTCTCACCCTCCCATTCCCATCCTCCCGTTCTCCCCCTCCCATTCTGACCCCTCTATATTGACCCTCCTTTTTTTTTCTATCCCTCCCATTCTCACCCTCCATATCCTCACCTGTCCAACTTCCAGGCCGGGGTGGTCACAGCCTTTGCAGCCGGGAATGCGGGCCGGCCCAACCTCCTATATGGAGTCCGGGGCACTCCTTTAGCCTCCTTCTCTCACCCTCCCATCCTCACCCTTCTTTTCCTCACCTTTTTAACTTCCAGGCCGGGGTGGTCACAGCCTTTGCAGCCGGAAATAAGGGCCGGCCCAAGCGCATGAACATGCTGGGCACGCTTTCTAATGCCTCCCCCTTCTACCTCACAGTGGGAGCAAGGTACGGCTGGAGTGGGGGGCAAGGTGGGGAAGGCGTGTTGAGGGAGGATGATGGTAACGAGGGTTGGACCAACCCCCAGGGGTTCCCCACCAATCCTTGTGGGGAACTCTTTTTAGTGCCTCTCCTTATACCTCACAGTGGGAGCTAGGTGCAGTTGGAGTGTGGGGGAGGTAACAGGAGGAGGGGAGGGAGAGGCGTGGGGGGGGGGGAGTAAGAAGGGGAGCATGCAGGGCACTCTTTCGAATGCGTCTCCCTTCTATCTCACAGTGGGTGCAAGGTTCGGTTGGAGTGAGGTGGAACCACCTTCACAGCACGCAGTTAGAACATGGAGTAAAATCAACACAACAACCTCTCACCCCCACTCTTCGTCTCCATTTTCCTCACCCCCACTCTTCACATTCCCCACCCACCATTCCCAACCCCCCACTGCTTTTTCTTTCAGCACCATGGGGAGGGAGTACACGGCTGTGCCCACCCTGGGCGATGGAACCACCTTCCTCTCAACCTTCCCCTTCCCCCTGACCGCCTACCAATGCTCCCCCTCAGCACCATGGGGTGGGCGTGGGAGTACACGGGGGTGCTCAACCCGGGAAGTGGCTCGAGCCTCCCTCCTCCCCTTATCAAACTCCCCATCCACCCCCACCGCGCACCACTGCTCCCCACTGCAGCACCATGGGGAGAGAGTACACGGCGGTGCTGACTCTGGGCGATGGAACCACCTTCACAGGGCGCAGGTTCGGCGGCACCGCTGCCCTGTGGTACAATGTTTGTGCTCACCTTCAAAGGGCCCAGTCAGAGGATTCATTGGGACCAACCCACGTTTCGTCTCACTTCCCCTCAAGCCCCAACCCCCCCCCCCCTCTCCCCTGTACCACCATTTCTTCCCAACTCAGCACAACGGTTGTTCTCACCCAGGGAAATGGAACCACTTTCCTCTCCACCTCCCCATCCACTCCCACCGCCCACCACCGCTCCCTGCTGCTTCCCACCACAGCACCATGGGGCGGGATCACACGGCAGTGCTCACCCTGGGCAATGGAAACACCTTAACAGGACGCAGCTGCGTCGGCACCGCTGTTATGGCGTCACCTCTGCCCCTCAACCCACCATTTCTCCCACCGCAGCACCATGGGGCAGGAGTACAAAGCGGTGCTCACCCTGGGCAATGGAACCACCTACCTCTCCACCTGCCCATCCACCCCCACCGCCCACCACTGCTCCCCACTCCTCCCCACCGCAGCACCATGGGGCGGGATTGCACAGTGGTGCTCACCCTGGGCGATGGAACCACCTTCACAGGGCGCAGCTTTGGCAGCACCGCTGCCACGGTGTCACCTCTGCCCCCTCAAACCCCCCCTCTCCCCTCCCACCCACCGCTGCTCCCACCACAGCACCATGGGGCGGGAGTACAAAGCTGTGCTCACCCTGGGCGATGGAACCACTTTTCTCTCCACCTGCCCATCCAGCCCCACCACCCACCACCGCTCCCCACCGCTCCCCACTGCAGCACCATGGGGCGGGATTACACAGCAGTGCTCACCCTGGGCAATGGAACCACCTTCACAGGGCGCAGCCTCGGCGGCAACTCTGCCACGGCGACACCTCTGCCCCTCATGCTCGCTGGGGATTACACCACTGTGGGCCTCCCAGACGATGTGAGCCTGAAGGGGTTTTGAGACACATCCTAGGACCTAGCCCCATGTACATTGCTCAGTTGGCACTGTCTATGTTTGAGGAATCTGAAATGCGGGTGATGTGAGCTTGAAGGGGGGTTGAGATGCATCCTCGCCCCACTTATATGGCCGAGAAGGCTGTTTTTCTTGTGAAGAGAAGGGCGCGCGGAACTTTAAGGGGTTTTCAGAACCCATCCAGTCATATCTCAGGGTTTTTTTATGTGCTTTCTGCCTAGTCGAAAGGCTCAGCTTTCTATGGCTTCTGGCAGGTACAAAAGCGAGGTGAAGCCTAAGGAGTATCTTGGCCCAGTCTACAAAACTGAGTCTGCTGTGTGTTTTGCTGGGGAGAAGGGCGAGGTGAACTTTAAGGGGACAAAGCCAATCACAGGTTAAGCCATGGATAAGGCATGTTTCCAACCTGTGCTGGTCTAATCCGTGGCACCACACCGACACGCTGTCAGCTCTGCCCATTTGTGACTTTTGAGTCGACTCAAAAGAGGTGACTTTTGATTCGACTCAAAAGTCACCAAGTCACCTCATTTGTGAATTTTGAGTCGACTCAAACGTCTAATTGGTGCTACAACATGGCCCTAGCGTGCTGCACCATGAACTCAAGTCGCGGGAAAACTACTCGTGTACACCATGCAGGCTTTAGAGTCGACTCAAGAGCCACCATGCCTTCTCCACCTCCCTTTCCCGCCACCCCACCAGGCCTACCAGTACTACAGGGGGTATTTATATGCCACTCAAATCGAATTATCTTTTGAGTCGACTCAAATTCAACCCACCGTGCCTTCACCTCCTTTCCCCCCACCAGGCCTACCAATGCTACAGAGGGTATGTAGATGTCACCCGAGTTGCCGGGAAGTTCCTCGTGTGCTCCCTGTTCGATCGCACCCTGTCGGGGATCGTTGCAGACGTGGACAGGATGGGAGCGGCTGCTGTACTCGTTTTAAACGCAACGGTGCCGCGCGAAACGCAGTACAGCATCCCGTTCTCAAGGACCCCGATCATCTTCTTAGAAGAAAGGCATTTGTGGACCATTGAGGATTACATCAGAGCTGCAAGCAGGTGAGGACCTATTTCTAGTTTTAAACGGGACAACAAAGCGCAAAATGCAGCACCACATCCCGACAATGTGAGTCGCATCCCTTCTCAAGAAACCCGACCACCTTGATAGTTTTGATGCATTTGTTGACCATTAAAAGACATATCAGTGTCGAAACCAGGTGTGGACCTATTTTTCTCTTGCGTTTGGTGTTGCTCCAAGTGCCCTTTTCCAAAACACTTGATCGGCCTTACATCTTCATCAAGCACTCGCCTCTTGTAATATTCCTTCTATTCAAACCCCACCTACAAACCCACCCCACCTATCTCCCCCCCAACTCTCCAATCTTCCTCCTCTCTTCCCTCCTCACTTCCCTCCTATCTTCCCTCCTCTCTGTCGCCCTCTCTTTCCTCCTATTTTCTCCTCTTAGTCCTCCTCTCCACTTCTCCACTCCCACCATACACCGCCTCCTGTTTGACAAACTCTCACTCCCTTCCCACACCCACTTGTTCCTTGCCCCTTCTCCCTCCCCTCCACTCCTTGCCAGTGCATCCCCACTGCCACGCTTTCCGCTTTCACCAACTTCTACTCCTCCACTTCTCACTCCCTTCCCTTTTCACCCTTCCCCTCGCTCCTTCTGAATGCAGCCCCATAGCCACGCTCTCAGCGTTCACTGCCTCCTACTCCTCCAACGCCCCCCAAGTCGCTTACTTCTCTTCCACTGGGCCGCCGCGCAGCCCACTCTACCTGCCCGCCCTTCTAATCCGCGACTATCCCACTAACGACATCCTTAAGCCCGACGTCGTTGGGCCGGGGTTCCAACTATGGGCTGCAGGCGTGGGTAAATCAGCTGCCACCGCTGCAACCGACCCGCCGGAGTTTGGTTACAAGTCCGGGACGTCTATGTCAACAGCGCATTTGGCGGGGATCATGGCGCTGATTGTGCAGAACAAGCCGAGTTGGTCCCCCTCGCAGGTGATTTCCGCGATAACTACGACGGCGTACACAAAGAACAAGAACTTGCAGCCGATTAAACGGGCAGATGGAAAAAACGCGAACGGGTGGGACTATGGAGGAGGGCACGTGGATCCAACGCGTGTCTTGGACCCTGGGCTCACGTTTCATGCAGCTCACAAGCACTTCGTGAATTTCCTTATGATGAGGGACCCGATAAGAGCGAAGAAGCGATTCTGGCGCATGGGTAAGGCGCATCCGATTCTACCCTGGAACCTCAACCGCGCCTCAATAGCGGTAACTCGACTGCACGGCGTTACAGTAGTGTACCGCCGAATGAAGAATGTCTACAACTTACCATCTACGTATAGCGTGAAAGTGGTCCCTCCGCCTGGATTTTCTGTGAGAGTTTGGCCCAGGAAGATCACCATTTTTCCCGGAAAGATGAGGGGTTTTAAGGTCACAATTACCAGGTTCTTGCCTTTAGATGCATTTAGGTTTGGAACAATCATATGGACTGACCAATATGGGCATTCTGTGCCGGTGCAGCTCGTGGTTAGGTCTCCCATTTTGCCTTGATTGTCATCATAATGGCACAATTATAGCGTTAGTGGCATGTCTCAGGCGAAATAAAAGGCCAGTGGAGATGTCAATGATATATAAGTCTAACTGCATTGCAAGGTTTCAAGGTAATGGAAAGCTTAGAAGTACCAACCAGTAAAATAGAGTAAAGAAACAGGAAGATATATGAATCCCAACAATAGATGTGCGTTGAGACAATTCATACCGTACTAAGATGTTAACACACACGGGTGATAATTCCAGCAATATTGGATTTGGGAGGTGCTAACACCAATCCAATCCAAAAATGCTCTACATAATTATATCATGGAGGTGAAGTACTAAAACCAAATATCTTGATCAAAATACCACCTCTCTAACGAGGGAAACATTTGGCTATTTTGGTTTTCTCTCACATGCCATTGTGCTCAAGGTTCTCTCTCAAGTGGGTGGGTGACATCCGGAAGGTGAGAATGCACTGAGTAGATTGCAACCTCATATCTGCGAGCTGCTTTCTAGACAAGTGCTAAGCCACGTTAAAGCCAGCAGCTAAAATAGTGACCCCCCCCCCCTTCTAGTGGGTCCACTTGAAAACACAAACTAACTTTGTAAAGGTTCAGATGGTCGAAGTGTTGTTCTGTTTTGTTTTTCAGACGCGTTCAAGTCTTCACACTTAAATTAAAAAAAAAAAAAAAAAAAAACGTCGCAACCATGTGTCGCATCGTTGTGGAAATCCCAATCACATGGAATGGTGGGGTGTTGAGAGATGGGAGGGGAGAAACGAAGGGCGACTTGCAGGCATTTCGAGGCAGGCGCGAAAGCGCCGAGGTGGGGGACGGGAGGGGAGAGAGGAAAGGCGACGAGTGCATGTTGGGGGATCTGCGCTTGCACAACGTCATCACGGCAGTGATCCCCGGCGGGTGCACGCCTCCGCTGCAATCGCGCATTTGAAACGGGGTTGTGCTAGTCTATGGAGACTGGTTTGCAAAGTATGGCACCAACACCTTCAGACCTGTAGTTTCCTGGAGGTCTACCCGCTCGTCTTCTGTTCTCGGCTCTAGTTGTGAGGCTGAGATCTATGCATGGCTCCACAGGAGTTACGCTGGCTGACCTACCTGCTGATTGACGCGGGTGAGCGGCCTCGTTCTCCTCCAGTCCTGTACGTTGACAAGAAGGCCATGATTGCCTTGTGTCAAGAGCAGAGACTGGATCACAAAATAAAGCACATTGCTCTTCGTTACTTCCTTGCTCGATAGCTACAACAGCATGGTCAGCTCTGCCTTGCCTATGTGGCCTCCTGGGCCAACACTGCTGATATTTTCACCAAAGCACTTGTGTATGGTGATCATCAGCGTTTTTGCACTGCTCTAGGCCTTGTGCCTACTTTGCATCACTTGCTTATTGCTTGACTTTGCCTTGTACTGTGTCCTATATATCTATACCCGCATTCGTACTCTTGTTAGGTTGTGATCATTGTACTACTTGTGCTTTTACAACTCTGCATGTGAACTGGCATTGTGGCCAATTGCTCGTGCTCATACTGCATGGTGATCTTGAGATTCACCCTGACCTTTGTTTTGTTTGCTTCTCTTGATTGGTCTTGTGACCATTTACTTGTCCTGGTTGTTTTGATGCCTCTCACTTAGGCTATGGGGGTGTGTCAAATATATATCATATTTCTTAGTTAGCATAGAGTGACATGCATCTTATAGGGTACAACTTTTCTCTAAGCATTCTAGTTGTACTCCCCCTTGACCTAATCATACCATCCTTTAGTATTCTAACACCCGGGTCTGTGACGAATAGTAAATTAAGAAGCTACACTATGTTTTATAACATGTAGCAAGAACGGAGAACACAGAAGGCGAAAGGTCGAAGTGACACGAACAGTTGGAAAGCATCTGGACCGTCGGAGTAGACAACATTGGGCAGCTGCAGGAGTGAGGAAAAAGGCGGGAATAGTTTTGTAACTATACGCGCCGTGCGGTTGGGTCTGAATTTGAATAAGGGAATGTACCCCTTAAAGTACATGGCTAGCTAGGACGTTTGGTATTGCCCTTGTACTGATACCACTGAAATGCAAGCCAACCTGGCTGCGACAAACGAGGAGACGACGACTATCGGCACAGACGCCCTCGCACAACTACTTCAGCGACTCTCAACTCTGAAGCAAAGCGTCCAGACATTGCGGAATGGCGACGTGGGAACATCTTCCCAGCCCTCACAACCGGCCTTAAATGGCCGCAATACCGCCCCGCACACCTTCTCCCTCGAAACGAATGGCTCAACTCCTAAGTCTCCCCGTCCAAGCGATGAAGCAGTTCTCTCAGCACAATCAAGGATTTTGAGCATATAAAAAATTAAGACAAGTGTCTACTTGATGGCAGAGAATTCTATATGTGGAGCTTCGAGGTGGAGGTGCTGCTACAAAATGGGCAGA